GGCCCGCGCGGAGGGGCGGGCGGCGGCTCCGCCCCGGGGCCGCGATGGCGGCGGCCGAGTTGGAGTCCTCGCTGGAGCTGAGCCTGACGGGCTCCGGCGCGCTGCCCGGCGCGCTGCCCCCCGCCCGCTCGCGCATCTTCAAGATCATCGTCATCGGGGACTCCAACGTGGGCAAGACGTGCCTCACCTACCGCTTCTGCGCCGGCCGCTTCCCGCAGCGCACCGAGGCCACCATCGGCGTGGACTTCCGCGAGAGGGCCGTCAGCATCGACGGCGAGCGCATCAAGGTAGCCCGGGACAGCCCCGGGACAGCCCCGGGCCAGCCCCGGGCTGAGGGGCGGCACGGCGCTCCAAGGCCGGGAGAGCGGGATGCGGCCGCATCCCTGGCAGGGATATCCCTCAGCGGGGCCGCGCCGCTGTTGTGATCGTTTTGCGTTAAAAATATCAGCAAATTCAGTATTATTCAGTATTGAGAAGTGTGTTTCAACTCCTGATTTTTAGGGTTCTGTTTAAGTTTGCTGCGTGATGGTTGTAAGCATCATTTGCAGAGTGCTCTGTAACAGCTTACAGATGCAGTTTGTTTGCTGACGTGGTTTTAATCAGAACCCCCATCTGCTTCTGTATTACTGTTATTAGTAACAATAATAATTACTTCTATTATTATCAGTTTGTTTCTGTGAGGAAAGCTCAGTTGTGCAGAAAAAAGGAAGTTAACAGTAGTCTTGAGCTCGTACGTGGGCATTTATTGTCATCAGGCCTTACAGCTACAGCTTACAGCTATGTAGCTGAAAGTTATACCTTTTCCTTGCTTATTTACTGCTTAAAGAAATTATGGAGGACATCATAAGAGTAGGAGAGCCAATTTGTTTTCCTGCTCTTGAGGGATTTTTATCTCATATCCTTTTTCAACTAAAAAAGGTGAATAGGAGTTTTTGTTGGTGGTTTGGGGTTGTTTGTTTTGGGTTTTTTTGGTGGTTTTTTTTTTTTTTTTTGTTTGGGGTTTTTTTTGGTTTTTTTTAGTAAAATCACTGACTAGAATTTCTCTGAGAGCTGAAATGTTGTACTCCATTGTCCAGACAGAGGAGAGACCTCCTGAGGGATGTTGTCCTGTCAGCAGTGTCTTACTCACTGGCATTTTCATCACATCTGAATGGTGCCTGACCTTTGTTGGAGAGAAGTGAAGAACACAGCATAATCCACAGCTCTTAGATGCTTCACATAGGTTATTGTGCCATTCTGATATGTATGTTTCTGTAGATTGTTTTGCTGCATTTTTGAGAGTTTTATCTGTAAAAGAAGCCAGTTCTGGTTGAGGAAGGTGGAGAAGTGAAGGAGGTTTGTTGTTGTTTTGTGCAAGTTCCGTTTCAGCATTAAAGGAATAAATAAAATAAATCTTTATGGCCAGGACCCTAGTTCTTAGTGGGAGTGTTGTCAAGTTTGAGCTGATTTTGGGTGTTTTTGGCAACTTCTCTCACTGCTCTTCTAGCAGTCAGCTCCAGCAGCACCAATCGAACCAGGAGAGAGAAGCTCTGATGAACTAAATTCCTGTAGTCCTTGCTGTGCCCTGAAGGGAATTTTCCTCTTGCATCAAAGTAGGTTATACAGCAGTGTCTTCTCCCTTCCCCCAGGCAGCTGGATAGTTCTCTCTTGTGCTGCTACAGCAGTGACTGTTTCCTTCACAGCTGGAAAAGTGCTGTGTCACTGGCAGGAACACAAGCACGGTTCTTCTCCCTGATGGTCTCCCACACAGCAGCTGTGTAGCATTCCAAGACGTGGGAACGAGTATATTCCTTGTACAGCAGGCTGACAGCTTCACATCAAACACTGATGCCTAAATGTGATGAGTAAATTAAAACTTTCAACAAATGGATTTGCTGCCTTCTAAATTTTCCTCTTCCTCAATTTATCTAAGCATTGAAAATCGAAGAAAACAATGGTGTCAGTCTTCACTGACCTACATTAAGAGAGCAAAACACAAATGAAATTCAAATAAGAAAGTCCAGACATCATGTTCTGTACCTTTGAGCTATTCCAGATTTTCTCCCATGTCTTTTTAAAGGAGACATAGCAACAAGGCCCATTATGTTTTTACCAGTGTGTTATAAACCACACATACAAAGTGAGTCCTTGTTTAGGAAAGAGCCTTTCTGGATCCACAAAACAGAATCAGAAGGTGGGGTGTGATAGCTGATATATTTAATATTTTTTATGCCATTTGTCTTTCCTGGGGAATGTGACCAAGTGATTCTGTACAGCTTTATTAGCTGAATTATGCTGTTGAACCAAATATGCAAACTGCATATTTTAAAGGGCTATTATAAAAACTGTGGTCCCCTGAAGATGGATGTTACTGGACTAACAATGAAATAGTAATCTTTATGTTACTTCATCAGTGCACACCCATTAACATGAACATTTTCAGTGTTGTTTTTCAGAAGAGAAAATATTGGGGTGAGAGGCAGAAATAGAACCATTTCCTCAAGTTCACCTTGAACAAGAAGAAAAAGAAACTTCTGAAGTGTGTAGTTTTCAACATTGGGAAAAGATTTACCTCTCAGTGCAAATGACTCAGTTGATAATGCCCCTCACACTTGAATGCTGCATGTAAATGAATTTTGGACGAGCTGTAGTTTAAGCTTCACTTGCAAGTTATGTAAACCTTTAATTTAATTTCCCCATCTTTACCCAAGGCTGGCAGTACACTTGCAGATCTCTGCTTGACTGAAGCATGACTGATTTCTGCTCTGTGAGTAAGCTGAGGAGAGAATTGTAAGCTCACAGCTGCCTGTGAAAATGTACTCCCTCCTTAAATTAATTTGATATAGCATTTTCCAAGATTATCTATATGATTCCTTAACATAATATCGTCTATACGTAGGATTGTTTCAGTCTGCACCTCTTTTTCCTCTAATTTCTCAAATTCATGAACATTTTCTATGAGTCTCCTGACTTTATGATGTTTTATAAGTGCAGAGAGCTGGAAGTATGTCTCACTTGGTTGTCTGACTGAATCTTACCCTGTTTAGTCCAATTGTGTAGACTCATGGAGATGCTGTCACTTGTGTGTAGAGTGTAATACCATTGGCAAAAAGAGGGGTTTGTGTGGGAAACAGTAAAAGGAAGATTTTCAGAAAGTTGGAAATGCAGGTTTACTCTAAAATGAGACAGATTGCAACTGAGTACCATTTCATTACTTGCCTTGCTTTTCCTGACAATCTTAGTGACCCTTTCAGGAGCAGCACACAGGTCTTTCTGAGAGTCTGGATGAAAAGCTGCAGAGAGCTGGACTAGACTACAGAAGCCAAGCTGCTTTGAGTTCTCTTGCAAATTCTCAGTTCTCATGTTGGAACCAGTAGCTGACATTCCCACCTGCTCTAGGCTGAGGTTTTTTTGAGGATGGATGACAAGGATTGAACATTAAACTGCAGAAAAATCACACCATCTGAAACATCTCTTACTATTTTTTCTTCAGCCTGTTACATGACTGATTCATAACATCCTGTGATTGACTCGTGGATCTGGATTGTCATCCATTTTAATAATTTCCAACTTGATGAACACTGTTCTTAAAGAAAAAGTCCTTAGTCACTGGTATTGAGACTTTGCATCTGCTTCTATTCAGTTTCATTGCATTTCCACTGTTGTAGCTTTCAAAACAATTTTTTGTGATGCTGTAGTGCTCTCTGTCACTGATGCATCTTCTTGCTCTTAGCAGATTTCCCTTGCACCTGGGCTTCCTTTTTTCTAATATAAAAGGTCACTGGTTAAAGTGGTAAACAAGACAGCTTTCAAGATATTTGCAATTTCTAAAAACTTTTACTGAACCATTTGGATCAAAGGAGTGCTGAGGTGTGGTAATGGGAGAACAATTTCAACAATTACATAGTGGCTGTGACTTTCATGAGAACAGATTAAATTTCAAATTTATCTTCATTGTCTGCAGAACATTTAGTATTCCTTGAGTTCTGAGTCTCAAGGAAAACTCCTTTCATTCCCAGGGAGCAAAAACTTTCTGCTCAAAAGTCGAAGTGCTAATCAAACTGCCTCAGCCATTAGCAATCAGCTGTACAAAACAGGGAGCTAGGACAGCTTTTTCCCAAAAAATCAAATGTCTTTCAGATGTGTCATTATCACTAAGGTGTGTGTGATAGAGCCACACACCAATTTATTTCTGACAGTGGCAGGTGATGTGGTGGTGTAGGTGAAGGCATTCTGACTGCTGTGCACTGCATTTCTTATCTCCCCAGGTTTGTGTAAACATTACTGCCACACTTCTGCAGCATTCTCTACATGTCTGGGGACTCCAGGCCTCCATTACATGAGATGATCAATGTATTTAAAATTTCTGTTAGCTGTTGCTTGCATCTGCTGGTGCTACAAAGCTTGTTTTGTTTTGTTTTGTTTTGTTTTGTTTTGTTTTGTTTTGTTTTGTTTTGTTTCAATCTGTACCCCAGAAATTTGAATGTCTTCTGAATGTCTTTCTATTCTGACTATGCTTTAGCACCTGTGTTCAGTCTGGTTTGGACAGAATAGTATGTAGCTGGAAATGATAGTCACGTTAAGTTAACAGGAGGTTTATACTTAAATTTTTATTTTTTTTTTTTTAATGCATGCCTTGATACTGCAAACCATGGTATGGTCCCAGTTAAAGCACTATATAAGCAAGTTAGATGTTCATTGCAGGAGGGTTTGATTCCAACACACTGCAAAGAAAGATTTCTTTTTCCTGTTTTTGTTGGTAATGTTGAAATCAAGCATGGTTTGATTTCTTCCTACTTTTACACGGCAGTTAACATCTTGCTAACAACAAATTTTTGGGGAAGATGAAATTATTTTTGGCAGTAACAAAAATCCTGTCAGCTGAGGGTTGTATTGGGAAGTAACACTTCTTTAATTTTCAAATGAAAGTGCTATTGCTAAGGCTTCAGGATTTCTTTTTATAAAAACCTTTAAAAATACAGGTTTCAATAAACTTTGAGAAATTTGTAGTTTCTCTCAAGTGTCATCATTCCTCTTGGCCTCACTTTTGAGCACCTTTGAAAGTTAAAGCTTCTGAAATTGTGTGAATGCTACAGTTTTCTTCATCACCAACTTGTTAATATGATTGATTCAGAAGAGTAGATCTCTGTGGTCATGTAACTCTTCTCACTACAGGTGATTTGTGTTATTTCCCAAGATGAGCAATAACATATTTTTTCCTCTCCTTGGCATTCTGTTTCCAGATACAGCTGTGGGATACTGCAGGCCAGGAGCGCTTCAGGAAGAGCATGGTGCAGCACTACTACAGGAACGTCCACGCCGTGGTGTTTGTGTATGACATGACAAACATTGCCAGCTTCCACAGCCTGCCGTCCTGGATAGAGGAATGCAAGCAGCACCTTCTTGCCAATGATATACCACGGATTCTGGTTGGAAATAAATGTGACCTGAGAAGTGATATTCAGGTGCCCACGGACCTGGCCCAGAAGTTTGCTGACACTCACAGCATGCCGTTGTTTGAAACCTCTGCCAAGAACCCCAATGACAATGACCATGTGGAGGCCATATTCATGACACTGGCTCACAAGCTTAAGAGCCACAAGCCATTAATGCTTAGTCAACCCCCAGATCATGATGAAATACATATAAAGCCTGAACCAAAACCTATCACATCCTGCTGGTGTTAGGTCACATTCTCACTGGTTATCACCTTGTCTTGTTTGCAAGTGCTTCAGAATTATGATCTTTGGCAAAGTTACAGGTTTTGGTAGCAACTATAGCAAATCTCTTTGGCACTTTAATGTGGTTTTTATTTTAATTTTTGCTGATGTAGATGTGCCCATCTTATGTTCTTGCACTTTTGTAATTGTACTTCAAAAACTACTAAAGTTTCACTATAAATATATGGGAACATACTCACTTTGTCAAGTTTTGACAAAGCAATCCTAGTTGAGCCCTTGCTGCCTGAGGTTGTTCTCATCACTTGTGGTGAGGTTTTAACTAGTGTGCCAGTTTACTAATACATTTGGTTGCTACTTGTGTTGGAATAACGTAGGAGAAAGAGCCTTTGTGACAACCAGGGAACTTGGGTTTTGGGTCAGCAAGTGGAGAGATTTTTGGCATATGAAGGAATATTAGGTGACTAGTAGGAAATTAGAAAGCAGGTACCTTTTTATTATAAAAGGAAATAAAACAGGTCTGTCAAAGTTTGGGCTGCCAATGTCAGTGCAAATTGTTAGGTTTTGGCCTGTCCTTCCACTATGAATTTGGTCTATTTCTTCATGGCAGTGGTAATGGAAATAACTAACTCCTTCTTACCTCTAGACAGTTACTTGGTACTTAAAACTTCATTAATTTTTCATAATTAGCATGTGATACCAAACTATGTTATGTTAACTAATATTGTGGAAAGAACTGTAGCGCAGGATTTGGGGTAAAATTGAGACTCTACCTGTCCATAAGTTCTCTGATCTTACTAAAATTAAATTATATATTTCTGTAGGTGCTGTATTTGAGTTGAGTAAAATGGTTGAGCAAGTAAAAGATTGGGTGAATTGGGTAAAAGCATACTGCTTTTCAAAGGTGGGGTTTGCAGGGCTTTAAGAGATCATGAGTGCTTCTGAGATACCTTGAAAAGCACTTGATAACATATTTCAGGAATGGGAATACCTTGAAAAGCACTTCATAACATATTTCAGGAATGGGAATGCTTAGTAATATGGTACATTCTTAAAATATTTCTGAACACAAACTAAATTGGGTCTTGAAATACAGAGTAAATCTACCAACTGCATCATTGTTACAGAATTTTGAGGGAAAACCTGCATGTATAATGTTGTGACTGTGTGTAGGGCGTCCTTGGCATTACTAACGTGAGCTGGCAGGGATTAGATGAGGGAAATTCTTCCTCTTGGACGACCTTTTTCTCTGTTCTCATAGTTGCAACTGCTTTTTTTCAGTTCTATCTGAAGATCAAGTTTCATAATAAAAATGGTGCTAAGTTGCACATAGTTGCATAAAGTTAAATGTAAGCCATAGAATGCAATCTATGACTTCATTCATGTGCCATGTCAAACAATGTTTTGTGATTTAGTTTTTGAAGTATAAATGAAGATTTTTTTTTTAATTGGTAATGTGTAGCATGTGTTGCTTACTGGAAACTCAGTGGAAGGGCTAGTTCAGAAGCTGCCACCCTAATGATCACATTAGAAACAAATTACTGAGACAAGATACCTGTTATTATGTGAACTATTACAATTCTTAAGATGTAGTTTCATTGCAACTTGTACAGAAAAAAAATGCATTGACTTTTTTCTAGATTTTGAAAGAGCATTTAATTTGGTCTTACATGATTAAGATGTTTAAAAAGAATCTAAACAAAAGGTAGTACTTTTTCCTGTATAAAGCTGCTTCAATTGTGACAGTATTTTTGCTTAAGAAGCATTTGTAAAAGGAAGCTTTTGTATTCACTCTGAACCTTACATGACTAGAATTTGCAGTTGTTTCAGAAACAAAGACCTTTTTAACACTAGTGTCCTTAATGATTTCTTTAAGAAATTGATTGATCTTAAATTTATATTTATACTATGTTAAGTAAATATGGTTTACAGTCCTGTTGGACAGATTGTTTTTCACTCATGTCCTTAATCCTTTTTCTGAGAAGGATCATTCTTAATTATTTGTATACTAAATATGTCAGCAAGTTTTCATGGTTTGTTTGGGTTTTTTGTTTATTTGTTTGTTTGTTTTTAATAAAAATATCCCAGAATTAAGAATTTTAAAGTCAGTCAGGTTGGGGGTTGGGGAAAGAGAATCATGTAGCTGCAGTGTTATTGTTAAATTTTATCTGAAACACCTGTTAAGTTTTATTTGAGTTACCACAACTTGTAAATAAGGGCCCTCATGTAATGAAAATTGTGTGCAAATGGTGTTCCAGTGTGTAATTCCATGTTCAGCACAAAGCATGTTTTAATGGTTCTGCCATGGAGGCAGTGTGGTCAGTAATGCAGGATTCAGTGTTGCTCCCTGGCTTTCAGTGGTGATGTTTTGCCCACAGGATGGATATCAGAGTACTGAATACTTTGTATGTGTATTTTCACTCTACCAGACTGTAAAGTTGTGTTCTTTTGTATGTGCTGGGGGCAGGCAAGGCACAGTCCCAGAGAACTAATAAACGGGCTTTGCCACAAACTGCTACCACTTGTTTTCAATAATTATAATAGAAATTATATTACAATTCCATATAGTTAAAAAATGCTGTGAGGGAGTTAAAGAGCTTCTAGTTTTTGTCTGTGTGGGTGACAGTTTTTACAAAAAAGACTCACAATACTTAGACTACTGTCAGTGCTTTCTTGCAATGACTCTGGGTGATTTTGGGGCATCTGAAGCACCCACCTGATGATTCAGAGGCATGTTCAGTATTTATTTCAGATTCCAGAAGAATGGGAAGTGAAAAAACAGTTACAAAAATAGCAATTACTGACCCTTGGATGTAAATCAGGACCCTAAAGGAATCTTCTCCATTACTCTTCTTCTAGTCTCATCTTGTTCAGAAATGAAACCTCTTTGACTTTTTTTATAAATTTGTTGAAAGTCATATTTCTTGTCCCCTCTGTGAGTATTTTCACTTCACCAGAATGTATCATTCTAATACTCTTTTTTTTTCCCCAGAGTCCTACTTTTGAGGTCATTGACTGATGCTTAACATTGCAATTCCCAGCTAAAAGTAACAGTAATATTACTTTTAAATGGCAGTCTGATTTTTCTGTGGCAATCAACACAACACCAACATGTTATCTCAAATCTAAAATCATAAATAACATTAGAAGTTGTCGTTATTCTAGGACTCACAAAAAATACCACTGTTGTTGAGGATGTGGGATTTTTTCCTCCCTCCTGTGTTGATGCAGGGTGCCCAAAGGAGGCCTCCTTTATCCAGCTGAATGGCATCATCAGCGAGGGCTGTGAAGAGGCATTGAGAGAGGAAGAATGGTTGCTGGTTTCCAGGGCTGTTCTGGGATTACTGGGCTCTGTACAGCCTCCCACCTGCCAAACAGAAGCTCGTGCTGAAGGCAGCTCCTTGTAGTTCTGGAAGGTATTTCCAGAGCTCAAAGAAAGGCAAGGGAGAGCTACTGGTCGTCTAGGGACAGTCCCCGAGGTGCACAGTCCCTGGGGGGATGTTATGGACACGGAGTGTTTTCTGCCTTGCTGAATCATCGCTGCTTAATGTGAATCACAAATTACTGAATCCTTAGCTAATCATTTGACATTAATGGAAAACAGATTTCCCAGCAATACAGTGATCATTAAAAACTCCCAAAATAGAGCGTAATCCTCTCCCTGGGCTGCATTTAACAGATATGCTGCTCTGATTAGGAAGATGTTATTCCCTCTGAGGGTGCTGAGGCACTGGCACAGGTTGCCCAGAGCACCTGTGGGTGCCCATCCCCAGCAGTGTTCAAGGCCAGGCTGGGTGAGGCTCTTGGCATATGAAAACTAAGAGTCATAAGACCCTGATCTTAGCTCAGTACTTCCTTTTCTTTTATTATGTTTTACTGTTTGCACTGCCCCTTTGGAAAGGTCACAGGCAGAAAAAGGTTTGGTGTGAGGCAATGTGCTAAACTCCCTCTTTCTGAAAATACTTTGTGATTTTCTGCTGAAAATATCTTGCTGGGCCTCTAAATCAGGAGTCATAAAGCAGAAGCTGTTTGAAAACCATTTATCCTCTCTAAAGCCCCATCACCCCCACATCCTTCACACCCACTCCTGTATAGGAAAACACTTTAAATGCTCCAGGGGCTTTGAGGTGCTCCTTGCCCTTCATAGTCCTCTGTCCTGCAGACCTTTCTTCAGTTAAGGAAGGGCAGGCAAAGAGGAAAATACTAAACTGACCCTAAAATACATGAAACAGCTTTTCTATTTACTTCAAGGTATTTTTAACACACTCAAAATAGAGACAGTGAAGAGCTTCTGGCTTCAGCAACCAAAGATTCAGCTGTAGATTAAGAAAAGCATGTGCTAATCAGAGAGGGTTTTCAAGTTCCTGTGGATCCTCATGACTACCTTGGAATGCTAGCTTCAATTTTGAGCTAATATCTGAGTCACTGTGATGCTGCTGTTAAAAGTCCAAATACTGGCAGCCCTTGTCTGTTGCTTCAAGGCTCACAGTGCTTTTGTCAAGTTGAATCTGACCTGAAAGAGCTGATTTCAACACTTTCATCTTTCATTTCAATACTTTGTCATTAAATAGGTACAATTCATTTTATATGCATGATGAGAGTAGAGGGTAAATAAAGATATATAAGACATATTCTCTCCATATATCTCAAGTGATGGCCAGAAAACATGTATATTCACATTGCCATAGCATGCATAGTTTTGCATCCTAATGCAATACTTGAGGGAGTGCTGTTTGGAATTCCAACACCTTGATGTGTGGTACATGACACTGGTGGGATTCCAGCTCTAGTGTCTGCTTTAAGGCTCCAGTTCTCAGGCTTTATGCGTGAAGAACCATTGAATGAAGCAAAAACCTGGGTCATTTGGGGCTGGGAGGCTGCCTGCATCAGACAAAATTAGAAACACAGAATCAACTGCTGTAAGATATGCTGAGAGCAAAGAATTTAGAAACTGAAAACACCATCTGTCATCCTGAATCAGGGTATTGGGTGGGGAGCAAGGGCTTAGCAATATTTGCACGTACTGTTCCACCAATAAACATAACATATTATAACAACTAATATTGACTAAAGAGGAAAGTGATGAGTGTAGTTAAAAACATGTCGGGGTCATTTGGGGCTGGGAGGCTGCCTGCATCAGACAAAATTAGAAACACAGAATCAACTGCTGTAAGATATGCTGAGAGCAAAGAATTTAGAAACTGAAAACACCATCTGTCATCCTGAATCAGGGTATTGGGTGGGGAGCAAGGGCTTAGCAATATTTGCACGTACTGTTCCACCAATAAACATAACATATTATAACAACTAATATTGACTAAAGAGGAAAGTGTAGTTAAAAACTACACTAGGATGAGTGTAGTTAAAAACATGTCATGGACAGGAGCCAGACGATGAAACAAAGTAATTTTAAATTGAGATGACATAAATGTCAAGTCAATGGAAGAGAACACACATCTCTGTGACTTTGAAGCGGAAAGGAAAGGAAAGGAAAGGAAAGGAACCCAAGCTTCTGTGCTATAATGAAGAGGGGCTGTTAGAAAATAAGTAATAATATCTATTCCTTGTGCCTCCTGTTTGGCAAGTATGCAGAGGAAAAGTCTACACCTTACATTACTTCAGATTTATTTATACGATTGTACATTGAAATTAAACATGTTGACCTGATTAAACCAGTATCTAATTAATTCTCAAACACTATTTCTTCAATTTTTGCCATTTCTCTATTGAGAATTTTTTTTCTTCTTTAGTAATGACTACTGCAGCTGAGTAAGATTCAGCCTAACATCATTTACTTGGCAATTAATACAAAAAATTTGTAATAAAAGTAACTGATCTCATCAACATTTTAGCACATCTTTGAAAGCAGCACTTTAAATATACTGAATTGCTCTCCAAAACAATATAATTTCCTTTTTAAAAGTAAGAAACTAGAGATCCCAGTTAAGAAATTATTCAAGGAAAGGAAAGGAAAGGAAAGGAAAGGAAAGGAAAGGAAAGGAAAGGAAAGGAAAGGAAAGGAAAGGAAAGGAAAGGAAAGGAAAGGAAAGGAAAGGAAAGGAAAGGAAAGGAAAGGAAAGGAAAGGAAATTACTGCAGCAGCTCAGAAAGTGCAAGTGAAACTGTGCAGTTTGATAATGTGTTTGGGTTAGATGGACCTGAAGAAGTGAAGGACAAAGCAGTTTCTGGTTTTATGGAGAAGCATCTAAGGAAGGCGGGGAAATGCTGTTTGCTTTAATGGGCTTCCCTCCTCAAGTTACAGGTAAATTCAACAGCAACTTTTCCCCATACTTGCACACTGTTGGTGCTGGAGAATCATGAAATCGTGTCTCAGCTTGGAAGGGACCAATAAGGATCAGTGGTAGGACTCAATGATATTAAAGGTCCTTTCCAACATAAAAAAGTCTGTGGTTCTATTATCCTAGGAAACAAGAAATCACACAGTCTTGGCTCCAAATGTGCATCTTGGGTGTCTTATATTAGGTGGGGTTTCTATTGAGTATTAAAAAAAAAAAAAGAGGGGGAATATAAGGGAATATTCCTCCTCTCAGCTGCAGACAAATACCACTTCCTGTTTTCAGAATATATCTGCATTTTGATCAATTAGCACTACTCCTGTCTTTTCCCAGCTCTTTTAAGCCTCTCTTCTGTAGACTGGCTTTCCCATGCATGTTTAATGAGCAAGACCTATTGGGTTCCCCAGTCAAAATATTTTAGGCCAGGTCATCTCCTATAGTGAAGATTTACTTCAATTTCCAATTGCTTCATGCAAAAACAGGGTGGGCTGTGGAGACTACAACTGTGACTTTGTATCCCATTTTCTCACCAAGCACATTTGTGCCCAGCAAAGGCTGCTGTGACCCTGAGCACCAGCAGCTCAGCAGCACAGGGGAGGAAGAACTGCACCAAACATGTATCTATGAAAAATAAAAGTTAGATACAAATAAATAAATAAAAATATATACAAATATATATATTTTTTTTTAAACCCAAATGGGCTTGTTGTCAAATAAGTGCCTGAAAGCATTCCCTGATCCTCACTGCGATGAAGATCCCTCCTCTTTCCCTCCTCCTCTGCACCTCCTGCCCCTTCTGTTGGGGAAATGACTTCAGAAAATTCTTTGCACTTAGTTGAACATTAACTTCCAGAATCAGCTTCCCTGATTAGCCTTCTGATTACACTGGATGATTAACTCTGGCCACTGCTGATGGAGAGGCTGGCAGGCTTTGCCTTTATCCACCCGTGGATATTGTGTGCCTTGTTCTGTGTGTCAGGGAACAGGGCAATATTTATCTCAGCCTACTTGAGGTAAAGAAGTTTTTTTGATGTAAATGCCTTGTCTTTGACTTAATACAAGCAATGCTGACACAAGGTGAGAACAAAATGCTTGGGTCCATAACGGGGGTCCATAACTCCACCTGACTTCCACCAGTGAAAGCTGGGGGTGACACAAGCCATGGAATAACCCTGGAGATGCAGGCAGGTTCTGGGAAGTTACTGTACCTCACATGTGGAATGGGCTGCTAAATACAGCACTGGAAATTGCAGTCAGGAATACATTTTCTGCAACACTAACCAAAGAGGAGTAACATTAAACTGATAATCAGTTTGCACCAATTTACATTGTGCAGCTGTCATTTTTCTGGAAACCCCCACCTTTGTAGAAAAAACTGTTGAAATCATCTGTCTATGAGTGACCTGCAATAGCTGCATCACTGGAAGGACTGTGTAAGAAATAAACCATCTTATAGCTGCTGATAAATCAATGGCATACAGTTTTATTCAGAAGCAGCATAGAGCATATTTCTCTTTTACACCCCATGATTTCAGTATGTGCTGCTAAGGCTGTTGCACAGCCAAACGAAGAAAAAGCTAAGGCTGTTTCACCTGCCACACCTGTCACCTAATGCCACATCAAAGGCTTTCAAAGCCTTTCACACTTGGATTGTGTCCCAGAGCTGTGCCAGGAGAACCTGACCTGCAGCAGCTGTGGTGGCACTGCCAGCCTCATCCCAGGAATTATCTGCCTGAGCCAATGGAAGCAGCACAGCATTTGAAAAAGGACTGGTGATGTGCTGCTCTGCACACTCAGAGTAAAAGCAAATTGCCCTGTTCAACCAGCAGACAAATGCTGTGGAATTCTGCAAGTACATCACACTGCAAGGACTGGTTATGGAACAGCACTTCAGGATGGGACCATAACTCCTAGAAATTATGCAGAGGCTGAGCAATGCAATTGTAGCAGTTCAATATCTGTTTTAGACTGACCAGAGCCACTGCTTTCAGCTATCAGTGAGCCCAGCACCCTGTGAGGGTGTCTGACTTTCTTTTCATTACAAGAACAGCAGTTTGTGTTAAACAAGAGGAAACTCCCCAGCATTTCACTGCAGATGGTGTGGAGCTCTGCCAGAAGCATCTGAGGACAGGGAGAGCAGTTACACTGGGTGCTTTGATGCCCGTTGACAGGCACTATTTCAGAGGAAAGAGCACAGCATCCCATTTTGAATCACAACATTTGAATTAATATATTAAAGCAATTCATATATTAACACCTTCAAATGAACAAGCCACCAGCTGTGTTTTGGTTCACACAGGATGGGATTGCACTAGGTGATCCCCAGACATCCATTCCAGCCTCAACCATTATGTGTCCCTGCAGGCAAGGTAATGAAGGTATTTAGAACCAAAGTCAGGAAGAATTTGGCTACTGTGACACATAAAATTAAGCCTCCAGTTGCCAGAGTAGGACCTGCAAGCCCAAGTTAAGCTGCTGGCCCAAGGATCCAAAGCTGGGGACAACTTCCCTGGCTGAAGCTGGGCAGTGGTGGAAGCAATATGTGACCTGAGAAGGGGTGTGGAGGGAGCCTGGTGGTTGGGGCTGCTCTCTCAATCTGAGATATTCCCAGACATAATAATTTTAAGGGTTAAAGTCAGCAACAGGTACACTTGGCAAGCACCTTACACACAGAGGGGTGCCAAAGTTCACTGGGACTTCCTCAATATGTGACTAAGAGTATTTCTCTGTTGAGGATTAAAAAAAAAAAAGCTGTGTAACATCTTTGCTGAAGAATCATAGGATTGTTTGGAGGTGACCTTAAAGATCACCTTGTTCTGACCCCTCTACCACAGGCAGGCACAGCTCCCACCAGACCAGGCTGCTCAGAGCCCCATCCAACCTGGCCTCGAGCTTCCAGTGACAGGGCATACACAGCTTCTCTGGACAATCTGTGCCAGTGTCTTACCACCCCCACAGCAAAAAAATTCTTCCCAATATCTAATCTAAACCCACCCTCTTTGGTTTAAAGCAATTTGGGTATTGGACTCCCTTTACCAGCATTATGAAAAGGACTTCAGTCTTAGAGAAAAAAATAAATCAAGAACAACTCTTCTCTTGGGACCATGAAAGGCACATTACTTGCTGCAATTACAGAAGCCTGATACGAGATCATTCCTGGAGTTCCATGCCTCATGCTGAGTATCACTTATCCCACTACCCACTTTCTCAAATAGGAACTTACTTTCCAGGCCCTGTTCAAATGCTGTGTTAATCTGCACCAAGGGTTAAGTCATCTGCCACTCCCTGCTCAATGCCTGCAAGATAAACACTTGACATTCACCTAAAAGTGAAACATAAAGGACATATGGGCATTCTATGTACTTCAGGAGATGACAGAACCTGACTGGAAGCTTTCTTGGTCTAGAGAAAATACAACAAAAAAACTTTTTCTAGATCTGTAATAACTTTTAGCAGAATAGGCCCTAAAATAAGGATTTCTTTTAAACTTTCAATCTACAAAGTTGAAATAGGAAAACTTGAACTAAATTTAGAGTATTCAAGTTACTTCATAAGAGGAGCTATTGCAGCTCCAGTTCCTGCCACACTCTATAGTTACAATTCAGTGCTAAAACTAATAGTACTGACACATGTATGCCCCACAGCAGCCACATTTTGACAGGGGTACCTGAATAGTGCTATTAAGGTTTCATATAAAACTTTACGTGTCCCCATTCCTACCAAGAAGAAAAGGAACTCTGAAACTCAAGGATGAAGTGCATCCTTCATTATCATCCAAATAATTCATGCAGCAAGAGGGAGAAATCAAGACAGCAGTTGAAGAAAAAGGAATTGTATTTAATATTTAAATGCCTAAGGGTAGCACTGCTACACAAATTACATTATGAATTCTAGTGAAATAAGACATGATTTAAGTACAAAAGCCAGATTAAAAAATGCTGTCACTTTCCAGAAGCAATGAGGTATTTTCACTGTACGAAGTCTGAAAGTTCAAAATCAGCTGCAGATGTTTCCCTCTGCACTGTGGTCTCTGCTCAGTGCTGGGCATTCACTAGTTCACTCTCTGTGTGTTTTTCAAATGGCCAAGGAAAAGTCCATGACGATCTTTTAAGATTAGGAACTTACTGCATCTCTCCTGCCACATTTGAACACAATGTTTGGCCACTTTTTCAAGTCATTCTGATAAATGGTGGAGGTTTGGATGTGTCTTCTTCTGCATCTACATCCTGGGCTGGAAACCGATCTGTGAAGTTAAAAATTCTCCCCACGGGGCCTGTGTGAGAAAAGAAAGTGAAAACCATTAAACATGGTATAGATGTTTGCACAAAATCCTGAGTTCCTTTTGGTAATCAGGATTTTGGCCTGGGATGTAAACCTTATTCAGGATGTTCCTTTCTCACCCCTGGTGATCATGCAGATACATGGAGGCAAAAGAGTTACTCACTTTCTACAGCACAAATCATTTCCACAGACTGATTTTGGTCCTCATTAGGCTGCAACCATTCCTACAGAAAAAAAAGCACCATCAAATACCTCCCCTGGAAATTTGTTCAAGAAGATACACCTGAACTTATTTTAAAAGTCTGTGCAGTCCATGCCTCCTAACATGTTTTAGTTTGAAAGTTTAAAGCAGCCTCATGTTACCCACTTGGTGACTTTAGTCAGGAACAGCTGCCTCGTGGCCTACATCCTTTAATTCCTTACCAAACCAAATGGTCGGATGCACATGTTTAGTAACACAGATTCAGAACTGCTCTAGCAGAGAAGCAGTTGGTATTTATTTATTTACTGAGCTCACTTAGCAGAGATGTTGTGGGCCCCACTACCTGAGGCCGAATCTTTACGGATGAGGAGTAAATTATGTGTGTCAGCACCCCAACACTGCACACACAGCACTGGAGATACTCTCATTACTGGATTTGAAGTTCCAGCATGTAAGTACCAGTGAGTCTTTGTAATGCTGCACCAGAATCAACTGGTGGCTTAAAGATGAGAGGAACAGTTTTTGAGGATAGCAGGAATTTATGGGAAATGGGGCCACAGTAGCTTCAGCATAAATAGTTTGCAAAATAGAGATAATTTATATTAGATCTTACATGAGACTGTAAATAAGAGAGAGATTTTTTTCCTTTAAAGGAAAAAATATACAAAACCCTTCTAATATCCCATTTAATTTCTTAGAATTAGCCCTGCATGACTGAGGTAGGAGCTCAGACTAGGTTTACTGGAGAAAAACACACCTTCTCCCAGGTTTCTTCCCTTCCCACCAACACTGAGCAGAAATAAACCTGTGCCCTGGGCTACTCACTCACCATCCCAGTTACACTGTCATAGCAGGAGCAGCACGGAAGGCTCCGGCATCCCAAGTAAGCCATGGCCAGCACAGAAAAGGCACTGCAGATGGACACAGCCAGCATGGCTATGTTAGCCCCCTTGACAACTGCATTGAGTATGAACCTCTGCAAACAAAAAAGGAGACGCTAAAGCCACATTCAAAAAGTGACACTCTCCACCAAAAAATAGTCTAATGACTGCAAGAATGCTGTGATTGCCTGATAGGAGATTGATTCATAGTCAGCGTTACTTAAGATTTTTCTGTGTTCTGAAAAACAAACCAAGTATGAGCCTTAAATAGAGCCAACAGTGAAATAAGGCTGCTGATTAAATGTGAGATGCTATGCAATCGCACTGGGTTTGGGTTTAACAATGAATAAAAACTTAAGGAATGGCTGCTCTTCTTCAAACTGAGTATGAGAAACAGTGTCTTGCTGCACTGCACCTTATAGCAGTCAGGCATTTTGATTTGTCCTGCAATAAAACAATTATCAGCTTCATCTCTCTGGAATGCCTTTACGCCCCCACCCCAGCAATCAATTGCTTGTAGACTGGAGATACAAAAGGGCTTCATTCCTTCTCTGCAGCTTCACTGTGGAGGATACACTTGAACCAACACCAGGTTTAACCAGCTGACCTGTAACTGCTGTAACTCCACCACCTGAGGTGCTTGTTGGAAAGATTCCAGCCTTGCAACCACTTTCTCAAACCAGGTCAGGGACACTCTCAGCACTTTTCCCTGAGCAGCACCAGTATTTTTCATGGCTCAGCCCACACCACCCCTTGGCACTAAGAAGCAAAAGCAGCCAACCTGACCTAGTGTCACCCCTCACAGAAGTCTGGTTCTGTTTGTCAGCCACACTGGCACTGCCTGCAGATTAAGGGTGGCATGCTCCCCAGTAATAATCATGATATCAATACTTACAGTATGGATAACATGGACTGGGGCAGAACTCAGCTCCTCCTCTTCACCATAGTTCAGTGTGAGGGAGCTATAAACTATTACAATGAAGATGGCAACACAAGAGATTATGGAACAAACTATCAGTACATGCACCTAGACAGACGGAGAATTTTAGTGAGAAAAAGAAGGGAGCAGGAATCAAAGCTGCTCTTGGGCAAATACAAGCATTACAACTTGTATGGTAGCCTCTGACCTTCCATAACACTACAGCATCCCCAGAAGCAGCAGCCACTCAGAAGCCAAACACAGAGAAGTAGAGGTTTTCATCACACTGAGTTTCTGAGTTACAGCTGAGTCCTGAAGAGGTACTTAAAGACCTGCTACTTAAAGACTTTGCCTTAGAGATCTCTAATTTACATACAATATCCCCCCCCTGGAGTTTACACGGCTGGAGAAACCTACCTAGGAAATGCAAACCTCTTAACTCATTTCAAATTTTAGTGTACACAGTGCTTAACAACATGAAGGACCACCAAAAGAAAAGCATTGAAATGAAGTTTTTTTTACAGAGTTTTGCTTTTTATTAGGCCCGGTGCCTGTCTGCTGCGGCAGAAGGCAAGGTAACACTGCATCCTCCTCTTGGTTATAAAGACAGCAGCTTTTGTGAAGATAACTCAAAGAAATAAGCTCTGAATTCTTAATTTTGTGAAGATAAAGAAATAAGCTCTTAATTCTGCAGGAGGACCAGTCAGCTCATTCCCTCCTCAAACATTGCCCCAACAGTTTGCCCCTGCCCCATACACACAAACACCCATCTGCCCCTCCAGCTTACAAGAACTGGATTCTTCCTCTGCGAGGAGAACAAAGCCAGGACGCCTGGGATTCCCATCACCTGCAGAGCACAAAAGGAGATGGCAGCTTGGGAGACTTGTGTCAGATTCGGAAGACAAACTGCTACAGAGTAATGAAACATAATAAAAAGCGTTTTCAGTTCGGATCAGAGTAACTGCTGCATCAGAAATGGGAAGAGAATTGCTCATTTCTTGTTTTCCTCTGCAGCATCTCCTGGATGCAGGACATGGGAGACATGCATCCTGCCCACTTTCTACCCACACAGCCTTGCTACTGCTGATCAGAGCTTTGTGGGTTGGGCAAAATAATGAAACTGATTGAATAAGTCTGATTTCAGGTTCTAAAAATGCACATGGCTTTGTGCACATGCATCTTGTAAAGGAAAGAAATATAGTAATGAAAGGAAATAAGCAGCCTCTGGCCTGGAAAGAGCTCTTCAGTGTAATTGCCTTGTAGAATGGCTCAGCGGGGTGAATCAGGGTGCTGAAAGCCAGGGAGCAGGGACACCTCTTGCCCACTCCTCTCTGTAGTAACAAAATTAGGGGCACTGTGCTGTGGGACAGAGATCAGCACACAGATATTCATCTACCTGAATAGAGGATGAGGTGTTCCCCTCCTAATCTTTGGTGGCCTCTCTGTGGTCACTATGCTTCTGCAAAAAAACCCCTGACAATTGTCACTATGCCTCATTTTCTACATCATCCAGCAGAAAAGTATTTAATTTAGTTCCTTCAGATGAAAGTCTGTTTGCACTCTTCTGTCTACACCATTACAAGGAAACTTTTATTAATTGAGTTCCAAGCATAAAATGGAAGAGCTGGCAAGAAATCTCGGCTTCCCTCCTACCCCTAATATGAGTACTAGTAGGTAGCAGTGGGGAAAAAAACCAAAAAAACAAAAAAAACACTGCAAAACAAAGCATAGAAAACATAGCAGAAGTTTACCATGCCAGCCCAAACTGGAGCTCTGGTTTTGGCCAGCTCAGACTCGGTCCTGAAAACGCCATCTATGACCCCACTGGTGACACAGACGGTGCTGAAGGCAATCTGGAACATCCCCAGCACGACCATGTTCCTCTGGTTAAAAATGAAATACCGATACCGATCCATTCTGCTCTGATTCCCGCATAAACCCCCGAACACGGAGACCGGCGAGCTGCACCAGGGCTTCCAGGGTCGGGGAATAATGGCTCTTCCTAGGCAGGAGAGAGAGATCGGGATCATCCACACGGCATCGCCTGGCGCTCGGCACCGGGAGCACAGAGCTCACTGCTCAGTGTCCCAAGGCCAGCGGCCTTTTGGGAGATTCCTGCGGCTGCTGTGGCCAGGTGACCGCGACACCATTCCCTGGGGCTCTGGAGCGGAACGCGCCATCGTCCCCTCAGACCCGGCGCTGACCGCTCCCTCCGGGGCTTCTGCTGCCCACAGAGGGTCCCTTGGGGCGGCCAGCACCGAGCCCGATACTCCCTGTGGCTGCTGCCCCTCACCGCAGCCCCTCTCCAGGGGCGGCTCCACCTCCAGCTCCCTCGTGTCCCCTGGTTCCATTCCGATCCCGCCGGCCGGGAAGGGCCGCGCCCGCCGCGCCCTCACCTGCAGCGGCGCCGGGAGCGCTCCTGCTCCGCTCCGGGGAAGGCAGTTCGGAGCCTGTGTCAAAAACGCCGGCGAGACTGGGAGACCCTTTTGGGAGACCCTTCTGGCAGAGCCTTCGCGGGGCTGGGACCCACGCAGGGACGGGGCTCCTCCTCCCGCCTCGCCGGGAGCCGGGAGCGGCCGCCCCGCCCCGGACACCCTCGGGCTGCCGGGACTGGGCCTTCCACCCATCCCTGCCCCACAACGACCGAGCCTTTTTTCTCTCTTTTTTTTGTTTTTTTCTCCCCTGCCGCTGTAACTGCTGCTTCACACGATATACAGTACAACACCGTGAGTTGAGGAAGGTGGCGCAGGTTGCTCAGAGGTCTTATTGGATGCGACATTCCTGGAAGTGCTGAAGGCCAGGCTGGATTGGGTTCTGAGCAACCTGGTCTAGTAGAAGGTGCTCCTGCCCGTGGTTGGGGAGTGGAACTAGATGATCTCTAAGATCTCTCCCAGTCTAAGCCACGTTGTAAGATTCCATGAAACCCCATACATGTTGTTAATGACTAGTGTGGTCAGTTCTTTAGATTGGCAGGCAAAGCTTCCCCTGGCACATCGGCGCCCACTCTCTGTTGGAAAAAGCAAAAGAACCTGTGCTGCTCGACTGAAAAGAGCTTGGGAGTGCTGTTGATACAGAATGAGCAAGTGTGTGCTCAGGTAGCTAAGGAGCCAAGGGAATCCTGGCCTGTGTCTGGGATAAAGAAGACAACAGGACCAGGGAACTGATTATCCCCTTACTTAGCACTGGTGAGGCCACAACCCAAGTGTTGCGCACAGTTGTGTGCCATCCACTTTCAAAAAGGATTTTGAGGTGCTGCTTTGTGTCCAGAGAAGGGCAAGAAAGCTCATGAAAGCTGTAGAAAGCACATCTTATGTTTGAGGGAGCTGGGGTTGTTCAGTCTCAGGAGAAGGTTCAGGGAGATCCCCATCACTCTACAGTGTAGGTCCTTCCTTAAGGAAGGACCTAGTAAGGTGGGCATCAGTCTGTCCTGCTGTGTCTGCAGTGAGAGGACCAGAGAAAATGGCCTTCAACTGAGACAGGGAAAATTCAGATTAGATATTAGAAACAATTTTCACTGTTAGGGCAGTTATGTGTTAGAATAGGTTTTCCAGGGAGGCAGTGGAGACATGATCCCTGGAAGTGTTAAAAAATCATCTGGGCGATGTGGTTTAGGGGTTACAGGGGTAGTGGGAGGTGGAAGGTTGGACTGGTTGACATTGAATGTCTCTTCCAACCTTGATGAATCAACAATTCTATGATTCTAACATCCCCCCCAAGCACTGCCAGCCAAATCCTAACAAGCACACCACTAAAGCCTACGTATCCCTGAAACATTTTTAAGAAATCAGCTCACAGGTCTCAGCATACAGCATACGTGTAGCACAGATGCTGAGAAGCAACAAAGCTGAATACCCTCACTCTGCTTCAGTCCTGTGCAGATCATGGAAGGCAAAGAATGAAGCAGCAGTGCACCAGGCTCAGTGAAGGGAGTTGCAAAATCCAGCAGCTGCTCATTCACAGGCACAGTTGCCTGCGTATGCTCTTGCTTCTCTAAAAACTCACCAGTGCCCTTCTTTTCTGCAGCTTCTCTTGACTTCTCTGCATCTCAGAGCCTAAAGGGAAGCACAAGATATTCCATGGAAAGCCGCAGGAGGACTAGGCAGAAACACAGGAAAGATCCTGAGAGATGTTACAGGTCAGATATATTTTCTTTAAATAAACCCACTGCACCTCCACAGGGTACTGGTTATTACACCAGGGCCAGACAGGAACACAGCCAGGGTGGGTGAAGCCAGCACATGGCACCGTCTACAATCCCAGGGTCATCTTCCACACACCCTGCAAACATGCACCAAGCACCCATTGTCCTCCCAGCCCTTACCACTGTGAAGGTTCAAGTGGCAGTGTCACTTCTGCACCCTTGCAGAGAGGGGAAGGCACAATCTTTGCACACCTACACACAGCACAGGCAGGAGAGGCTCAGTTACCTCAGCCAGTTGTGATCACACAGAAGGGGAAGGCAGCCAGGCACTGAAAGCACTGCCCCCTTCCACCACTCACCTAGGATGTGTACATGGAATCAGGAGACAGAGGAATAGGTTACCTGGCTGGAAGGCACCCTGTTGCACCTTCCCACTACCTCAGAGGAAAATACACCACACTTTAAAAGAACAATTTGGGTGGGATGTTCTTCCATACCACAATACAACTGATGCCCGTGTTACCTGCATTGAAAAAGACAAGTAAGAAAAGCAGCAGAGGTGACAGAAAAAAACAAGTGGTGTCAGGTGTTCATTCACTATTTACATTACGTGGCCTAGATGTGTTTAACTGTGTGAAATCCTGCTCCTGTGCATCAGCAAAAACTGGTCACACAGGACACAAGGAAGGGGGAGAGGTCAGAGGATGCCCAAAACTGTGACACACAAATAACGAAGAGAAAGAACGTTTTTCTGTTGAATATTTTATTTTTGCATTGCCTTCATAGCGCAATTAAAGCAATCTTTAAAATTCACTTATTACAAATGTTTGTCAAGTCTGTTTTTCCCCAGAAACACTTTTCTTGCTTCCTTGCACATACGCCCAAACACACTATAAAAACCCCATTCATAACATGAAAGAAGGGCAAACATCAGTCATGTAAACATCTTTCTTAGAGTTATCCATTTTTTAAAAGTCATGAATAAACTTACAGGTGTTCAGTAAGGCTCATAGTTCGAGTACAAATGTCATAAAACACCTATCAAGTACTGTACACAAGTTGAATACTCCGGGGTTAACTGTTACCACATGTATAAGCTTACCCCAAAGATTATTCTTTAGCACTTAGTTCTTCAGAACAGAGACACCCAGTAAGTATGGGCTAAAGAGTATTAAAATAGCAGAAGGCCCAGCAGAAACTGTTAAGTAATACACAATTTTAGTCTGGTTCTTAGCTCAGAGTTAAGCTTGTTACAGCTGCAGTAGGAAAAGTTTTCTAGAAGGGGATCTACAGGAAGGAGGGATGGGTCGTTTGTAAGGTATCAGGAAGGGAAGCTGAGAGGTACGTCTTGAAAATGTGACTAGCCTTGCTACTGCAATTATTTATGGCAGCTGCATGTAATGCTGCATAAATACTTCCCCAAATAGCAGAAATGACCATTTGTAATTTTAAGGATCATTTGTTGCATCTCCCCTAAAAAAAAAATTATCTACTTACTGGTATTCAATTACACTTGCATCCTACAAAAAGACACCCCTTTAAATCTGGTTTAGATCTTACTACAGCTTTTTTGTTTAAATATTCTTTCTACCATGAAAATATTTCATACAAACATCATTTTACATAGAAATGTTAAAACTCGTGAAGCAGGCCATCCCACAATCATGATTTTATGGCTTGAATATTTAATTGCTTATAATTTTTGTACAGGTATTTCTCCTAGGGGAAAAAAAGAGTTACAGTAAAATGGTAAAGAGAAAAAGCGCAGGAAGTTCTACTGCCTGCAGACAGAGGAGGGTCCACTCAAGACAGAGTGACCTTAGTGTTCAAAACCTTTGATCTGGGACAAATAAACATGCACTTAATCTTGCACCTTTTCTTTTTCCTTAAAAAAAAATCCCTTATAAGACTGCTTAGAAATTCTTTGTCCAAAAATACAGTTCTCATGTTTCCATGACATGAAGCACAAGGAACAAGTTCACTGCAGGTGAAGCTCATTTCCACTTGCAGATGAAGCTGCTCCCACACCTGCTTTCCTTGCCTGGATGCCCCTGGCACACAGCAGTGCAGCAGAAGTGAGGAACAGGCAGCACCCCAGCATGTAAGAAGATACTTCAGTACCACTGTTTCCAAAGCAATTTGTTTTTTTTAAGTGCTTGGAGGTGAAGCCCTCAGGCACCCACAGCTCCAGCAATTCTGCTGGGCCACAGGAGAACAAAGCAGCAGATACTTGGCTCTGTGTAATGTTACCTCATCACAACAGCAGCATTTTCCTAAAGACCATCAAAAGGAGTGAAAGGACACAAATCACAGAGGTCTACCTGGGACAGAAGCAACACTGCTCCACCCACTGGCACAGCCCAAGTGGTGAGCACTGGTTTGACTGAGGACAAGAGCAACAGCTGGGAAGGAAACAAAAAAGTGCCAATTTCCATAACTTCTGAATTTCTCTTAGCAGATGGGATATGTTGGCTACTCTGCTCCTCCAATGTCTGACAGAGGGTGAGAAATCCCTGACAGAGCTCTTGCTTCTTGTAGCATGCTGCTTCTAGCAACATGCTACAGGACCCCTGCCACCTGTGTGCAACACTTCTGCATCTGGAAAGGCTGTGCCAAGGAGAAGCTTGCCTAGTCACTCCCAAAACATGCAGCCTCACCCCAGGGCCTCCCAGAACCTCCCCGGGAGCTTCACCTTATTAAAAGCATGGACCATCCCAGGAGATACTAGGAGGTATCATGGCAACTGCAGAAAAAGTCAAAATACTCTCACAGCTGAAAAGCCATTTCCATGTATCTCCTTTGACTTTTTCAGCAGTCAAAATTTACAGGTATTTATGTAGGGTAAGTATTTTATAATTTTTTTAAATAAGGGAATAAAAAGCCTTTGCCGGAAAAGAAAATCAGGATCCCCAAAAGTAAAATTATAGTACAAGACTCAACTTCAGACACCCTGTACATGGCCTAAGCCCTTTTCCTTCCTTCTTATCCAGTGGAGTGACCCCAGGAGCAGGCAGCTCTCAGCTGCAACTTTTCTGGCTCTCATCTCCAAGAGTAGCCACTTCCAGAAAACAAAGCCTCTGTATTCCTGGTGACAAAACCCTGTGCTGCCATCACAGGAAGATCCACTTCAGATTTCTTTTTTTTTTTTTTTAAAGAGATCATCAGCAGCCTCTAATACAGCATAATACAGGATTCTCATAAAGAAGCTCAAGTAACCTTCTCATCATGGAGAAGCCACGTGCAGTACTGCCAGACCAAAGGCAGATTTTGGGAACTGATCTGTACCTGAAAAATGCAGCAATTCCAGGTTTTCTTATGCTATTCTTTAGTCACAATGCATATCCTGAGAGCTAGCCACTCACTCAGGCTCAGCTGACAGGCATCAGCTCTCCTCCCAGCTTCTGTACTGACAGGAAAGGTCTTTGGCCAGACTCTAAGAAGTGGAGCTTCTTTACTTATTGCATATTCACCAGTAGTCAGCTGCATCCTACAGACCCAAGAAGATTGCTGTGCAAGGTGATGCTTCCTCTGCCCCAAAGGAAAACCATAGCTGGGTGTGGGTCTTGTGTCTATGGATGTCATCACACTACCAATGAGGAACTTTATGAAGCTGGTCTTGCTCTCTAGTGAGCCCCAGAAACTGAGCTGCAACGCACTGACCAAGTTAAGGCATTATTTGGAGTTCTGTAACTAACCTGTGTTTTAACCAGGGGATGCCAGCTCACACCTCTGAAGGCCACACAGCTCTTTCATCACCCAGTGGCAAAAGCCATCTCCACTCTAACAGACCAGGAAGAGAGAGAAAACAAAGAAGAGTTAAAAGGCTTGGTCCTGAGTCAAGCCAAAGCAGCTCCGTAATCACAACTTTTACAGAAGGTTGGTCGCTGAAGAAGGGAACTAGAGAAGGACCAACAGATTTTACAGAGCTGAGGACAGCAGAGATAACAGAGACAGGAGCCACAGCTGCGGCATGCTACCTACCAGGCTACACATGTGTACAAAAGAATCTGCTTGACTCTCACCAATTTTTTTGAGAAGACACAGGACACCAGAGTGCCTTTTTTTCCCTAGAATTTCCCTATTTTAGGATACAATCTTCAAGCCTGATGCACAAAGAGCACCTATATTCTATTTATCTCAAAATCAGGTAATATGAAGACTGACAAATCTATTAAAACATAAGCAACTCCACACAGGAAATTAGCAGAGGAATCAGAGACTGATCAGAAATGAAGGCAAGGGAGCTCTAGAGATCAAAACATTTTAAACACAATTCCTCAGTGAGCACAGAGAGGCCAGCAGTCCAAAGCAGGTTACCAAGAATGTGGAAGGAGTTACTATCCATTCCCAGCAGGGTTCAATCACGTCTTCCCTCTGTTCTTTCCTGTACCTAAATTCAAGCCTCAGCTTTGCAAACTTCATGATCCTGGCACAATAATTCCCAATATACAAGTAAGAGCTCCCTACCAGAGGCTTTCCTGCAAGTAGCTGATAACCTGAAGTAATGACCCATGGGCAGGCAGGGACAGATAAGTCATGCATATTTCTTTTTGAGAATCATTTAGTGAAGCTGAGCAGCTGACTGACCTATGCCAACTCTCCATCACGTGTGAGGTTGGTTGTGTCTCTGCACACTCAGGTGAGTCCCTGGCCTGTCACCTCTGCCGTGGATGAGGTGCAGAGCTGTGACCTGAGTGTCCAGCATGTGCAGCTGGGAGGTGTCACAGCTCATGTGCAGATCACTGCTGAAAGTGTTACCCTGAGCCTGCCTGTCCCCCACCTCAGCACACATACACAGCAACTTCTGTGCAAACTGAAATGATGAGGAGATGGAAAATGTTTGTGAGCAGCCACAGGGACTAAACAGAGCCCGGACTGTTAGGAGTAATTCCTAACTTTCCTCAGGTACCAAAGCAAGGATTCTCAGACTGCATGTAACAGCAGTCTCATCCTTCTACCTGCAGGTACCCAGCACATTCTCCCTGCCCAGCTCCCCAGACAGCCACATGCCTCCAACAATTCAAGCAAGCAACCAAAATGTGTCGCAATAGAAAGGTAGATCTGATTCCCAGATCATTTATGTTACATATATACAAACTTTTTAAAACTACAAACATTTAAAGAAAGTGTTGCAAATGCATCTGAGTTTTTCCTAAACTGCTAAACCCAAAAGAGAACATCAGAGTCCCAGAAAGGCTCCAGTATCCAGACCAAGACAATGCATGATTTCTCTCTTATATAGCATTAGGCAAGACCGGTACAGTATCTGAAAAACCACACAACTTCCCTACTCTTGAAAACCCCAGAATACAGCCCTGCAGATGAATATTCACAAGCCCCCACTGCTGGCTGCAAAAAAGCTATGGATTGACTGCTGTTTATAAATATGAGCATCGAGTGATATTTTTACATTCATTGTTTTTCTTTCAAAAACAATCTTTTAATATCTTTTATTTAAAAAAATCTTCTTTTGATACCTCATATTATATTAATTCACTGTGTCATAAACCAGAACTACTAAAAGATGGCTATAAGGCTATGTTGTTCCATCAAGTGAACATCAAGTGAAAAGATACAGCTCTCCCTCACCAAGGACTACAGCCTGCCCCCAAATACATGCACCTGCTTTCAGAGAATCCATGGGAGATCCAAGCATCTTTTGCCTTGAGAACTGGCCACTGGAACAGGTGAAATACACAAACCAACTCATGAACATGGATGCAAGTAATACGCTTGCCTTCCAGAACATTTACTTCTGGAAGTCTTTCAATAGCAAGTCCGTTTTCTCCTTTTCACAAAATCTTCATGCAAAGAACAGCTTCATTTGCATGTCATAATAATAAATTAAATAAAATAAGCCAGCCGTGCAGGCTAGATAAATATTAGGTTTAGACATGTTGCTATACTATTTAGAGAGCCACAGAAACCAACACACAGCACTCTCACACACACACACAAGCCCTTCCACTAATTAGAAAGGATTTTATCCTGCAAAAGAGGATTTGTAGAAAGAACAACGTTCAGACAAGAGGAAAGGGGAATTAAAACCCAGCCTCCTATATGCTAATAAATAAACTGCTCCATTGCAAGATTCAGATCAAAGGTTTAAAAAGGCAAAATTATGCTACTATTAGAGAATATCAAAATATTACTGTTATCATCACAAGTGGCATATATGCAAAATGCAGTTGCGCAATAATGCCTAGGCAGGTAGAGAGCAACACTAAGTCTGCTGACTAAAAGTGAACAATACACCCAATTTAGGTTCTTTCTAGTCTTTTGGTCATCTTTGCATATGGTGCAAAAGCAGAAGCTACCAAAGAATACCACATCTTGTATAGAATATTAAATAATTTCTTCAGATAAGACTGGTGCAATGCTAGCTAATTTTTAAATCTGCTATGAGTAACACAGTCAAACCTAGTTAGTATCCAAGGAACTTATCTCTTAACACAGAATGCAAGATTATGACGCAACAGCATGAACAATCCCTGGTTGTCCAGTTTTCAGTATAAAGGTAGTGCATAGATCCAAGTTTCTGTTTCAGTTTGCTGAACGGAGAAGGTGCTCCCATGTCACTTTTGCTGGGCAGCCTGGAAAGCTTTCAGTTCCAGCTGGTACCACTCTGGGGCTTCAGGCCCATTCTGCCCCACAGGATTGTGATCGTACCCATAAGCCACTGTCAACTCCTCATCCTTCTCCACAGCCCTGATGGTACGGATACACTTGATGGGCCCAAAACGAGGATGAACAAACCTAGGAAAAAAACATCTTTGCTAGGCTCAGCTGTCAATTCACATACTCTGCCAGCCCCTCCTGCAGTTCCAGAATTTACTCACTTCAGAGCAATACTGCATAATTTGATACTGAATTAGCAGGCTTGAGTCCACCTCGTAAGTATTTAAAAACATGAGCAAAAATGTTCCAAAAATTCCATTCATGTCACTTTTGCTGGGCAGCCTGGAAAGCTTTCAGTTCCAGCTGGTACCACTCTGGGGCTTCAGGCCCATTCTGCCCCACAGGATTGTGATCGTACCCATAAGCCACTGTCAACTCCTCATCCTTCTCCACAGCCCTGATGGTACGGATACACTTGATGGGCCCAAAACGAGGATGAACAAACCTAGGAAAAAAACATCTTTGCTAGGCTCAGCTGTCAATTCACATACTCTGCCAGCCCCTTCTGCAGTTCCAGAATTTACTCACTTCAGAGCAATACTGCATAATTTGATACTGAATTAGCAGGCTTGAGTCCACCTCGTAAGAATTTAAAAACATGAGCAAAAATATTAATTTATCAAAGCATTGGTAGTTCAGCAAATACAGCGTGGTTCTACCCAAGCTAGCATTTAGAGAGCTGTGATGATGCATTTTACAATCGAGAAGCAACACAAAGGTCATGACAAAACTAACAAGTTGCAAACTTCAAGATACTCCATGGTAAGTCCCAACAGACATCAAGCACCTATAAGGCCAGCTCATTTCCAACTCAGCTTAGGTGAGCAGAAACTCCTTCAATGCCTCAACTCTTTACTCCCAGCCCACCACTGGTGCTCATCCAGCTGCCCAGGGATCCCCTGCGAGCCCAGAGAGCCAGGCTGCAGCTTCTACCCTAAAACACAGGGCTGTACTCACGGCTCATAGGTGCAGTTAGGAGTGAAGGAATGGTTGGCCTTGTGCCCCAGTGAGGCACAGTACTTGGCAGCGTGGTTGTAGGGCTCTGGCACATCAATGACTGTTTCATCATCCAGGGATATTGTATTTCCATTGAGGGCCCAGTCTCTGCTGTCTACCTAGTGTACAAGGCAAAAATCCAATGTCAGTGTGGTGGAGGGATCAACTTTGTCAGCAGTTTGAAAGTCAACATTCAAAATATAAGCAAATAAAGCTTTTTGTGGGTGTATGCCATTAAAAAGAACAACCCACACTTTTTAAATCTATACATAGGTGAGCATGCACTTTCTTTCAATTAAACTCCATCATGTTAAATCTAGGGTGGGCAGGTAGTGGGTGTTAGATCCTACTATGAAAACAAAATTTCAGGAGGAGCAATGAAAATTCAGGCTGACTTTTTTCTTCTCTTTACCTCCTGGTGTGTGATTCGCACTCCGTTATAGAAGGACATCACTGTACTGGCTTCTGCTGCTATTTTTGAAAACAATCCTTCTCCAGCACTGGAAATGAGAGAGACATCCACATACACCCTACAAGAGGAACAGGCCATGGAATCAGTGACTGGCTGCAGTTTAATTTTCATGAAGTACAACACTAGTGGGATAAAACCCAATACTTCAGTGTAACAATAAAACTAATAACAATAACAAATTATTATTATTATTTATTATTATTATTATTCAAAACCTCTTTATGGAACTCCTTTCCTTCCTCTCTTCCATATGTTCTCTCTATTTCATCACAACTGAGATTTGGTGGAAAGTTTGGGCTGACTTGGAAAACTTTTATTTTTTTGAAGTGCCAATCTACCACAATGATGCTTCAGTTCAGGAACACTCTCAATAACATATCAGAACCCCAGAAGTCCCCACCAAGCTGGGGTTGCTGGTATGTACATGCACGGAGAAGCAAGAGTTCTCAAGGTAAAGCCCCACATCTCCAAGTACTCAATGTAAATGAAAGCAAGTGTTTTACTTATTTAGATATTATTTAGATATTTCAGAGTATCAGAAAGTGCCTACAGTTGAGGTACACAAAGGGCTTCCATTTTACAAACCTTTATACATCCTTTAAGTTTTAGATGAGAAAAGCTTTGCAAAATTAGGCCCTAAATAGGTAACAGTAAAGAAAAATGGGGAGAAGAAAAAAAATTTACCTCTCTGATTCATAAGGATCAGGAAGAAGGGCATTTGTAGAAATGCAGGATGAAGTAGATTTGTCAAAACTGTATACTGGGCCTAAAAAAATCAAAAAATCAAACATCAATGAAGGAAATAAATTAATTGGCAGTACTGAGAGTATGCAATCCTTAACTTAATCAAGACATTCAAAAATTAAATTTTAATGGCTGCAAAAAATGTTACACTTCCAAAAAAAGGTATTGAACAGAAATGCACCTGTAAAAAGCCTTCAATGAGCTACTGCTTCTTGATTATTTTTTCCCCTTAACATTCTAACATAACAATGCTAACACAAAAAAATGATACACATGTTCTTCAAATTACCAACTTGTAGAGCAGGACTAGATACTTTTTCAAAACTGAGCCTCCTAGTGTCTCTAAATACAACTTAAAAGTAAAACAAAACTTAAAAGGATATATTCAACAGCTCATTAAGAAAAAAAAAACAGAAACAAAAAACACAAAAACTTATTTAGTTAAAATATGAAATATTTTCTAGTCCAGATCCTGAAGAGACTTCAGCCAGAAGATAACATTTAGTAATCAGAAAGCACCCTTGCTATAGTCCTTTATTTTTTGCCACTAATAAGCAACTTAGTGGTACAGCTCTAATTATATTCTTACACCTATCTCCCAAATGCCAGAAGACTACCTTGGGCATAGATTAAGAAGAAGGTGGAAATAAGATGGGAAAAAAAACCCCATAGAACAGAATACTACAAAGTTTGATATAAGGCCTTTGCCCCTGGTGTCCAGGACCTGTTCTGGCTGAAGGCAGCTTCCTCCTGAGTGGAACTTCATCAACAAAGCACAACTGTACCCTCCTACAAAGTAAGTTTTAAGTTGTATTCTGACTTGCTATCATAACTGAGCAAAAATAAACTCAAATGCACTTGCTTATTGAGACCTTTTCACTGAGCTTTACGTGCCTATTTCATATCAAGTGAGACAATTTTTGCTGGCAGAGCAATAAATGCATTACCAGTCCCTGCTTGTAACTGCATCTTAACCCACACTCCTCCAAAACACCACGACCATCTCAGAACAACAAACCCACCCCAGAACTATGGGTTCAAGCCACTAGGTGGAGAAAGCCCCACCCTAACCCTGTGCACTGCACAGCCACTTTCTGTCAGCAGGACCAGACACACAGAAGGGTGCTGATGAATCAGATCATTATACAACAACTGAATCTGGTTCACTAATTCCAATCTCAGCCCAGCAACGTAGGTGCCAGAACATTCACATTCCAAACACTGACTTGCATAAACCCAGCTGACAGCTACAACCAAATCAGGGCCTCACGTGCCTACTGCAGTTATTTCACTGCAAGAAATACACTGCAGCACCATTACCAGGGTGCATGCAGCAGGTTTTCCATCTGGTACAGAGGGCAGCGGGATGTGTGACAAGCAGGACTGTGCCCACAAGCACTAAGGATCTCAGAGTGAGAGAAGTGCTATGAAATGCACTTGGGCAGGACCACACAGGGGCACTTCCCATCTGTTTCCAGGAGAAAGACCATCTTCCTCTCTGCCCAACTCTGTGACGTGGAGAAAGGGCCCCTCACTAACAGCCTGTCATCACAGCCAGTCTCCAGTGAGGAACATCCCAGGAACCAAGCTGTCTGCAGCAAAGGGCTGGTAGCAGGAATACAAGTTTGTGTTAGCTGAACTTACTGCCTGGAACTACTTCAAACTGAGGTTTCCCATCCTCAACAGCTGTCAGCGTTGTCAGTTTTGCTTCTATCATTTCTCCATCTATGAACCTTCCAGAATATGCAGTCTTTCCATCAGGATACACATAGGCTATTTTCTCTCCAGTCATCTCCCCATCTTCATTCACTTCTCCCACAAGGCTGCCTCCATCCTGAGAGCACAGGCAAGAAAGAAAAGGCAAAGCAAAGCATTTAATTTTACTTTACTATCCTTGCTCCCTAAAATTTTTAGCTTTTTATATTTTACATGCATTTGTAGCTTTGTAGATTGCAAATGCGTGGCTGTAGCTTCTCTTTCTTTTCCTATCATGTTCCCCTCCATTTAGGAACAATATGCTAACCTTCTAAACGCATTCCTAAAAGATTCTTTAGTCTTACTCCAAGAAGAGTGGACCTGACATAACAAAAGCTAGGCAAAAGAAGCCTGGGGACTGCTTCCAGTGGGGCAGAACCCGAGGAATTATCACCTCATCAACTAACCTTTTAATTGCATAATACATGATAGTTACATTAATCAACAAACCTTAGAAAATGGTGAATTTACTGTACCACATGCGGGTTTTTGCCATTGAGTACCTGACAGCTTTCAAGTAAAAGTTTGCTTTTACATTCACTCTAATGCTGTTTGGAATTCTATTTTCTAAGAACATTCAATAAATGAAAAGGGTTTTCCCCAACTTTTAAAAATGCATCAGTAAGTTCAGATGTGAAATTTTATGAAAAGGAGAGAGAAACAGACACATGAAAAAGCTCAACAAAATCATTCCAGTTAGGATAAAATTGATTTTCTGCATTGTTTGGAATAGGCAAAACCCAAGGTCTTTCATTCCACGTGGCACAAATATTCAATTTCACTTGGTGAAAGTTATTATGTGTACAGTGTGCAAAACAAGGACCAAAGCCACACAGATGCCCAAATCTGATTACTGTGATACTGTGCTGGAGGAAAAAAGATTTCACACTACCTTACTAATACATGGTACCTCTAAAGACTTGACCCTATTAAGGAAAAATGATTCCCAGAATGCCCCCAACATTAGGTGGTAATCAGTGAGAACAACTGCTTGTGGAAACCATCAACACCAACACTTTTCCTCTCCAAAGTTTATGCATTTCAGCCCCGGGCTTTGTCATCTGTGATTTGCCTGCAGCTCATGTTAGATCTATTTCCAGAACTGCAGAAACGAGATGCATACATTAGCACAGGTCTAACCACTTACTGGGGTTAGGATTTTTCCTTTTGTCTCTTCCTCTCATGCTATTTTGTCCCATCTGTTGCTACAAAACAATAACTACTGCTGCTTAAGAGAACAAAAGATGTGGCCAGGAGGAAGAGGAGGAAGAAGGATGTAGCAGGGGAAGGAGTTTTCTTTGGAAGGGCAAAGACACTGAGATTTTGTTGGGGTGCTGAGGGGCTGGGCTCAGCTCCTCTCTTTTCTCTCCCCCCATGTGCAGTAAGACAGGCTGTGATTGCTGTGGGGATGCTCTTCTGCTGCAGCTCTGCTCCTGGGAGTGCCTGTTGCACTGGGAACTCATTAACAACCCACCTCACCATGCCACATACTGGGGTGCCACAGGGGACACCCTGGCACCCCCAGCCCCTCTGAGGGAGCACCCCCTGCCTGCTGTGACACCCTTCCCCTGCCTCCCCATGCTCCTGCTACAGCTGCAGAGTTTCTGACACATTTCATTTACTCTCAGGGCTCATCCCAGCCCGCCATGGCCGTGTGGGGAGGCGGCCGAGCCGGCGGCACAGCGCCCCCTGCAGGCGCGGGGGAATCCTGGCAGCCGCCCTGCCCGGCCGGGAGCCACCAGCGCCCCTGCTGGCCGTGAGCGGAACTGCAGCGGAGGGGAGAGCGCCCGGCGGCCGCGAGAAGGCTGCGGGCGGGTTTGTGCTCCCGCTGCTGCTGGGCTGGGCTGCTGGGGACGATTGCTTGCCTTGTGATATCTATACCTATCTATCTATAGATACATAGAAGTAAAAGTAATTCAATTTCCCCTATCTTTGCCTGAAAGCCCGCTAATTTCAAAGTTATAATAATTTGGAGGGAAGGGGGTCACAAGGGAGGCTCCTGCCTTCCTTTGCAGACACTTGTCTTTCAAACCTGGACACCACTTCAGGTTTTTATTTTAAAAAAGACAAGGAAACTCCAAATAACACCCCGGAGCAAGACCAGCAGCTGTGTTGTGGAAACAAACTGATTTATAAAAAGCAAGTCCACTGTGCGCAGGCTCTATTTCAAAGAGACACCATTTTGTTCAACTCCAAGGATGAAAGAGTCTCAAGCGTGCTGTAATAGGGAACAGTGAACCTTAAATCTGGGAAAGAAATTGTGCACATAGCATCCTACACAGAGTCATGAGAAAACAATTGGTTCCATGGCAAAGGAGTGGAACACCTTGCGTTGTCTGGCAAGACAATAATGATAAACAACCTCTAATTATCAACATTTCCAGAACACACAGCAACACTTTGTTATCTGGAAGATGAAGCAGGTGATACATGAAGTTAAGGGTCAGCTGTGTGTATTTTATACACTAGGACTGAAAAACTTCTGGCAGCATACACCAAGTATTTGCTGATCCCAATACATGCTTAATGGCAATAGTGAAAAATCAGTAAATAAAATGAACAGCCAGTGTTGGTAAGCATTTAGAAATCAATCTGGAACTAAAGCTTGTGCTATATGTAGCACAGAGTTGGGTTTTGACCAGCAGCTTAATTACATGCAGACATTACCACATTCTTGGCACGAGGTAAGATTGAGAGATTCAACTCTACTGTGTAAGGCTGAGTAAGAATTGTATTTTTAAAAATTTTGCATCAAAAACTCATTAAAAGCTATATAACAGTGACTGCCTTAACTAGCATGGTTGTAAAAGAACATCCAGATTCAAAAAAATAAAATACTGGCTTGTTTTAACCAGCAAATCATTTGTCCACAGCTCCACACAGCTCTCACACTAGTTACATCTGATGTGTTAGGCAAAGCCAGTCTTCACATCGTATCTTGTGGGAGCTTGTGAGCCCACTGGGGAGAGAACAACACTGATCACCTGGAGAGGTGCACCCTAAGCTCCGGGCATTCCTCATAGCTCAGGATGAAGAAAGAAGCTTCCCCCATGGTGCTCTGCAGCACCATGATAGTTTGTCCCAGTTTTGTTCTTGGTCCATTGGCTTTCCCTACCCATTTTACCCTTAGTGTTCATGTTCTACAGAGTTCTCCCTTCCCTGTTTTCCCATTGGTTTATGTAACCCTGCCCATCCACCCTGGCACTCCCTACTGGTTCCTCTGTACCACCCCTGAGCCCTCAGCTATTGGATCCGTGATGCTCTCCTCCGCCCCCTCTTTCCCTGTATTTACAACCTGGACCCTTCTTTGTCTTTGGTCCCTGGGCTCCTTCAGCACTACCTGGAATAAAGCACGTTGGAACTCCATGCCTGGACTCTCCTGTGCCTTCCCTGCTGAGCTGCTGTGTGTTTGTGTGCTGGTGCTCTCTTGGCTCCCACCCCTTGGTGCAAGACGCTCTTGCAGAAGGTTGCGTCCACCACCACCACGGACCTCAACAATATCCTGCAGAAACTGAGACAAACTCTCTCCTCCTACTCTAATAAGAGCGGTGGGTTGCAATAACTGGCATGGCTTCCATGCTCCTCACCTGCAGCCAGCACTACAAAGTGGCAAAATCATAGTCCAGCCTTTACAAAGAGATAATGCATAAATTATTAGACATCCTATTTCTACATTGCATACAAATTATATATAAATGCACTTCCACGGGGCTGGCTTTCTTGGAATCTTGTAGCCTCACTGAATCTCATCTACTGGGCAAAAATTCAACACCAAAACCTTTTAACTTTGTGTTGGATTATCCAAAATCAGAATGCCCCGATCTGTGTGTGCTGATTTTTGGATAGCTGGGTCATGGTGGGTATTTCTTTCAGCTGGGGAGGAAAGAAAAGTACATAATTCTACAATAAGAAGAGCAGGTGGTCAGGTTTACCGGGTAATAAATCCAACAAATTCCATGTCGGATGTTGTCTTTATACTGCCCTTTGAATATCAGCCGCCCGTCACTGTCGTACTCTTGGGCCGGGCCATTCAGCTCTCCATCCACGTAGGTGCCATGAAGGACCACTCCATCCTCATAGGTGTAGATTCCCTGGCCCTGCAGGGCATCATCAACGTAGTACCCCTCCAGGGTGCTGATGAAGAGAGAAAAAAAACCAGCAGTTGAAAACTGTTCACCTCTCAGGGGTGAACCCAAAGCCTCAACGCACTGGAAGACCAAGGTGAAAACCAGAAACTTGTTTCTATGGAGCTCCAAAGGCAGAAAACAACTCACAGCACCCTTTCAACAGGGTGTGCTGCATGGACACAGAATCACTCAACTCCATCACATGCTTGGCATTTTCTGTAGGCTGGAATAGTCAGCAAATGGACACTTCTGGTCAAAGAAAGAATTCTTGCTCAAGCAGGCTACTCTCACATTAGTATTTTCTACCTGCTATGTGTGGACCTTCACTGACATGTCTCTGGAGAGATGAAATTGAGCTGCTGTACATGTGAACTATGACAAGGAATAAACTGCAACCTGCCACAGTTCAGCGTCAGCTCCCCAGCAATACACTTACAGCCATTTGTACAGGCCCCGCTAAAAGCAGCCATTTTTCATGTATTTCTCCTAAAATCAAACACAGCCTGTCAAACAGAACTAGTGCTGCACTTGGATTTAAACAGAGAAACATTTCATTTTGGTTTTGTCTTGCAAACCCTTTACTCTCACCATAAAAGAGGATCTATTCAGATATTAGCATAAAGGAACACAACCTGTTTAGCTTTTACTTCACCATGCTTAGCTAACAGCCAGCTGTCAGCATATACACATATTTTCACTGCACAATTATTTTTCAGATGCAGATGTCTAATGTAGAAGCTGACACAGTGTCTGTGAGCACATGACTCCACATGTTTTACCACATAGATATGCAAGAGTTGCGGAAGGAATGTTTTTTCAGAATTCACTTTCTTGCTTCTAAAGCTTCATGCTCTGTTTTTATGTAACTTTGGCAAACAGGATGAGGTTTCCATGGGAAAATATGTTACAGTAAAAGCCTCAGTGCACACCAGATGCAAAACAACAAGGGGCAGGAACATAATTTTACTTTTCAGTCAAATGGATTTCTTGATCCAGGTTGCTACAGAGCTGCACAGACAGCTAGGGCACTACAGCACAGGGAACAATGAGGGAACCACCAGAAATCAGTGCCTTTACTTAACTATGAATGATGCCACTTTTCCCTCTAATTTATCACAGATCACTAGATTTTAATTCCATTGTAGTGAGAGCACACATAGTGTGCACATGTAGGATTACTCTTTAAAAGAAGCAGCCACCCCCAGTTTACACAGTCAAAAATCCTGTCTTGTTATCTTTAATTGCACTAGTTGAAGTTAAAACATTGCTAAATTACAACAGTGCTTCTTTGGCCCTGGAAAGAATATATTTTCTTTTACTGTAACTCAAACTTTTATGTTTTCTCTCTTTGTATTAAGCTCCAAACAGTGACCAAAAGATCCGTCTCATCTAAGGAAATCAAAAGGATGATACCTTAAGAAATAAGTCTATGTCCTTCAAGCCCACCTAAAAAGTCAGGTCCAGAAACTTTTATGCTGTTCAGTTTCTGAGCTACTTTCACCCTGCTCCTCACTTCACTTTAAGTTCTCAAAGTGTGGTGTCTCCAGCCAGACACAGTAACTGCAATTAAGACTTGACCAGCACAAAGATGAATAGCTTCTGTGTCTTCCATAAGCAAAACCTTTTAACACAAACCCTGAACTAGCCTGAATTTCCCTGGTTTGCTCCTCAAATGATCATACTTCTGACAACATAAATTCTAGCACAGTCAAGATTTATCAGATGTACTGTCTTCCCATTATCCACTATGCCTTGAAGGGATGGAACATACTTCTTATCTAACAATTAAACCAATTATATGGATTGGGGGGAAAATACTTTCTCCAATGTCATTACAGGGATTAAGTTGATATCTATAGAGACTGATCCATTTAGCTCTCACTCCCTCTATATGGGAACATGGAAAACTTTTTCCATAAAAATAATAGTTTTCTACTGTGTTCTGGGAGATGTCAGTTTACAGGAGTTTCCAATTAGGGAGGAAGGGCAGCTGCAGCTCTGTGCCAAGAACGGCTCTCATGCCTGCCTTTATAGTGCAAAGAGTTCTGCAAAATACACTCCAGAAGCACTGGCACCAAGGAAAGTTCAAGTCCACAATCCAAAACAGGGAGTATGCCAGAGGGCAAACTTCTCTCTCTTAAAGAATATGCTGTGATTTGTTGCATTTTGTTGAAGGGGAAGGAAAAAACCAAATAATATTTCATTCCAGATTCCATTCCCTTAAATGACCAACAGGAAGGGGCCAGTTATTTCAGTAAAGGGAAAAGTTTTCTTTACCAAACAAGGCAGCTAGTCCTATTCCCCAATACTCAAAAAATGAGAATGCTGACACTGCAGCCAGTCCTGTACTTGACAGAACTCAGCTGCTCCCCAACAACAGAGGAACAGCAGTACAGCTGTCAGCCTTTACTCAGCAGCCTGCCAGGGAAACACACCCACGAGTGCTGAACCAGCTAGCTTACTGCACAGGATTCTGGAAAGGGAGAGCTGCTCAGAGACATTTTTGATACTTATTGCTCATCTTCATGAGCAATCAGCCTTGTCCATGGCACACTTAATGGAAACAGCATGTCCTGTTTTATGCCAAGTCATTCTTACGACGTGTCATGATTCCTGAACCATCCATTTCAGAAAGCTAGTCTTAGTCTTGCTAGCTGGACATAGTGGGATAAATGACATCTTCAGTAATTATCTACTGCTCAGTTAAGGCTGCTTTAGCTAACTTAAAATATGTAACAGTTAAAGAAAATATCCCATTTTCCAAAACCACGCTACAGACTATTTTTTTCATATTTTCATTCTGCTAGTTCCTAAAGTCATCAGTGGCCAGCTATTCCAGTTTTTTAAGGGTTATGAAAATTGAGAGAGAAAAAAAAAAGAAAAAAAGTTGGCAACACTCAAGCAGTACAAAGAAGGCTCAGCAGCAACCTGACTCTTCCTAGTAAATGCTGCCTGTACCCTGGATTATATGGAGGAGCAGCCCTACAAACAAAACAGTGGGTCAGCTCCTCTGACTGTACAATCAGCAGCTACTCTGCTGAGATCATCCACCAGCACAGAAACATTATGTACGTGTGTCCATAGGGACACTGTCTGACAACTTACACCAAAACTATTTTGGCAACTCAGCTGCTGGGCAGTACTGATTTTCAGTTACTCAGAGAAGATTTAATAAGGGCATTATCAACAACAGTGAGGATTTTTCTTCATCCAGGCTTGGAGGCCTAATCCCTCCCTACATAACTGAATAAATATATTATCTTTGTCATGAAATAAAACCCACAATCCTCAGTATGAAGCAAGTGCAAAGGCAAGTACAGACAAGGAGCTGATTCACTGAACAGCACAATACCTCTGCTCCTGCTCAGAATTTTGCTGAGCAGGAAGACAGCAGACCCAGCATGACTGTCAGTTTAACAGCCGCTATTCAGAGTGTCACCAACAGCTGCAAAACCACGAAGAATCGTGTCATTTTATACATTTGCTGCTCCCTTGGAGGAAGTTCTGAGCAACTGCAGACAGGAATGCTGCAGTAGTGGTGGGGGAAAGACTTATAAGGTGTTCATAATGAGGATCAGAGAAGAAAACACATGCATAGGCATGGACTAGCCCGATTTCATTGTCACAATTCCCAATGAAAAGAAGGGAGATGATAGGTGGTGTTCTGAAAGTAAATCAGGCCACAAGCAACTTGCAGAGGATTACTAGAGCTGCTAACAAACCTGTATTTAACTCAGTCCTTTAACTGATAAACAATTCGACAGAGCAGAAGGCAAGCCTCTCTGTCAAGGTCTTGTATCTGTGTGCAAGAGCTGGCATAGGGAGCTCCTGGTCCAGTTGCACTTTCTGTGCAGCTCTATAAGGCAAAGAAGTCCACCTGAAGTAATGACCTTCGATGTACAAGTCATTGTCAGCATGGTTTTCAATAGTCCTGACCACCTCCCATTCTTATGATTTCTAATCAGCTCATAACTTTAAAGTGCTAGAAGAGCTCACACCACTGCATTCTCCCTCCAGGAAACAACTACATTACACACAAAGCCTGTGTGTAATGAGCCACAGGAATGGCTACAGCAGCAGCAAACTCTTCAGCTACAGTTTTTAATGAGAATTTTTATCCAGAAACTCAGCAGTATACAATCAATGTATATTAGTTTTGCATCGCTACAAGCAGAAGGAAGAATACAGAAGAAAAATCAAAGAGTCAGAGTGTACCTTCCATCAAAAAAGAAGAATTTGCCACGGCCATTCTTTTCTCCATGCACAAAAGTTCCTTCAAATCTGTCTGTTGATGAATAGGTTACTGTACAGAATCCATGCGGCAGCCCATCATCATCTAGATGCCCTGAAATAAAATCCAAACAAAGAGCAACAGAACACATTAATTATTATGCAAGATTTTATATATGCTCTCATTATGTACCTACTTGCAATGCAGTAGCTCCCTAGTACAAAACAGTAATTCAGATCATTGCTGTTAGGAACAGTGATCAGACATTCTGTACAACTGAAGTTTGTACCTGTGTAACACATAGTTTTAAATAAAAATAAAATAGAAGGATAAAAGAAAAGGGATGAGAGACAGGATAGAGAAGATAATAAGCAAAACTGGCTTCTGAAAGAAACAAGGTTTATAGTAGTCTAACTTGTATAAATATACATCTTCAAAAGTATAAAAATTATCTAAAACATGTATTTAGTGGCGAGAACGGGATAAGAAAAGGTTTGATTTTTTTCTTTTGATAAACACATGCCTTATGATAATATGGGTGTGCCACGACACAGCTGTATTCACGGGAATTTAAAGAAATAAAAGTATGTAACATCCATAATGCTGTGCCCTTGCAATATGTCAGCCAACGTGGCATGTAACATTTCAAATGCTGCTCTCCAGTGCCTTCCAGATGTGTTCACCTTACATCCTGCTCCTACCCCGGCCGTATCAGTTTTCCCTAGTACAGCTGTTGCACAAACGGAAAGCACAGACAACACCCTTGGATCCTCACCTGCATAGTTTGTGTCTTCTTGAATATACACGGCCAACTCTACTAAGTTAAAGCATAATAAGGCTCCTACTGCATCTCTGCCTCTTCAAAGCCAAAGGAGAACGACAGAGAAGTGTTTCCAACAACTTCTGGTTGTTTTAGCTGTGTGATCTCTGGCTGCAGAGCTCAGCAGGGCTGCTCTCAGCACAGGGACACACCTGAATGGGTGCTACAGCTCCCACAGTGACATTTTATCAGGTATACATTTTGCATGAAAACTGTAAAATAAATAACAGCTAGCCTATATTTATATTCTTCCATGCTTCTAACTCAAACATTACCTCTGATTCCCCCAGTCCCCTGGTGATGCACACACAGCCTCTTAGAGACGAGAGACAGTGTATGCATCCATTTCTGCAGGCTTTGGGTCAAGCTCTTCCCGGAACACATTTGCCCTAACCTGAAAAGGTTCATCACACATATGGAAAGGCAGAAACAAACTTCAGTGTGAGGGGGACTGATTTACAGCCCAGGCTAATGCAGGCAAAAAGATGCACTTCAGTACTACCAGACCTTGAGTCCAGTGCCCAGAGAGGGAACAAGCTGGGCAGACTTCACTGAGTAGGGAAATGCACCTAGAACAGTGTACAGGAGAAAGTAACAGCGAGGAATCTGAACTCATTCAAGAGCCAGGCTTCCCTCCTGCACCTTCCCTTCCACGCTCCACCAAGTTTCTCTTGCACCTGCACATGACTGTGCCCTCACTTCACAATCCCTAGTCCAAACTACATTAAAAACAGTTTAAAGTTTAAGAAGCCAGTAAAGCCAATCAGGCACTGATTATCAGCTCACAGCAAGAGAAAGAACAGAGTAAAAAGAGACAGCAAAAAGTGGGAGGGAAAACACTCTTATCAGTAAAGGCTTTTAATTACTTTGAAGAGGAACTCTTTAAACAGAAACTGCTCTTTCCAAATAGAAGAAAGGTTTTTCTTCCCTCCCAGTCTGTCAGGATACCCCTTTTTGTAGAAAAGACAAATTTTAGCTAAATGTAACCAATTATTATTAATGGTTAAATATTAATAATCAATACATTAATAACCTATTTAACTAAAAGGTCAGTAACATTTCTGATGTGGACACCTCTTTTAGACCAAAAACTATGTCAATACGTATAGTTTTAAATAAAAGCATTTTTAATTAAGTTTTATCAATATAGAAGGGTACACTGGTGTAAGTTAACAAACCCTAAACAGTATAATACCAGTTTCCCCGTCACTACAGGGACAAAACTTTTTATAAAACACTTGGATTAAAAAAATACACTGATAATACTGGTACATCATACCATTTTACAAAAATAGCCAAAGCAACAAAAAAAACAAACTCTTGCAGCTTTGTTCTCTGTGATTATTCAGCTTTGTCAAGATTTTGCTGGAATGCAAAGCCCAACAAAAAAGCTGCCATGCCTGTACAGAGAACACATGTCAGGCCTTTTGCACAGTAGGATACAGACTACCTCAGGGATTTAAAATAGTCAGCTTTGATCCAGTGGCCTCTATACAGGGTCTTAATCTCAGCCACAATACAAAGAATCCAATTATTCTAATGTGCTAGAAGTTTCCCCTTATTAAAAAAAATAAAGCCATGCCCCCACCACTGCAACAAAACAAGAAACACAGTCTCTCTTGGTCAATAATATGGGAAAAATGCAATTTCAAGTTTTATAACATAAATACAACATTTTTTGTTTTGGCTGTAATTCTGTTTCAAATTAAGTCAATGGAAAAAATCCTCATCATTTCATGGGGAGTAGTGTGTTCCACTTCCTCACCACTCTCCTCCATTTACAAAAAATAAACCCAAAACTTCTAAACATATTTTTAAATTATTATAAAACCTCGCTTTTGTTGCTTCATTAAGGGTCTCCTAAGACTTCCTCTCAAACTCAGACAATGAACTTTTCAAGAAAAGGAACTACCCTAATACGGGCTAGTTCACAATGGAGTCACTGAAACCACTGGTGTATACAAATCAAAGATAAAAATCCCTTTACTGTCAGTATCACTATTACTTAACAGATGACACATAACATGCATCATCAATAAAAGACTTTGGCCACAAAGATGCCAGAAGGATCACAACAATAAACCAAACTTCCCCCTACAAAGGCAGAAGTGCTGATTTCTGTATTTCTAACTTCCTTTAGGTAAATTCAAAATCCTGTTCACCTCCAAAGAGCAACCTGCTATTGCTGTTTCACTCAGAAAAACACACACATTCATATACACTGCTAAAAAAAAGATGCTTTAAAACTGTGTTTCCTTTGTGCATTGAGATGCCAAACAAATCCAGGATACAGCAGAACACTTTATCTGTGATGTAAGGATGAAAACTGCGACTCCTTGCCCCAGGATGTATCTGTGATACAAGGATGAAAACTGCGACTCCTTGCCCCAGGATGTATCTGTGATATAAGGATGAAAACTGCGACTCCTTGCCCCAGACAACTGCAACCCACAGATCTGAGGAGGCAGGAGGAAAGGCAGTAGAAAACCACATCTGTGAAGGCACAGGGCACACCCCATGCATAGCAGAGCCTCACTTCCCCCAGACCCATGTTCCACACAACAAAGATTCTCTGGCTCAGACAGCAAATCCAGCTCTGAGCAGCAGCTGCTCAGCTCACATGTGCTGTCAGACTCAGCTGTCGTGCAAGACAAAAACCTTCCCTGGAACTGCGAGGCCTAATCCCTCTGCTACAGGAGACACACGGCCAGCACAAGCATTACCTGCACCTCAGGCAGCTCCTTGCTCCCTGTCCCGACAGCCGAGCACCCTGCCCCGCTATTCCCGGCAGGACCACGGTCCTCCCTCCGCGAGGAATCTTTGGGGCGCCAGCGCTTTCCCGCAGAGGGAGATGCCAGGCTTTGTTTCCCTGCTCCCAGACGCCCGGCGGGATGACAGCGCGCTGGGCAGCTGCAGCCCTGCCCGGTGAGGCTTCCATCAGTAACTCGCCTCCAGAGGACACGTGCCTCTGGGTTTAAACTCCTCAAGGGTTAGCTCTCCACACGCGAGGGGTGAACCGCACACAGGGTTTTAGTTATAAGGCGGCCCACCCCGCTCCCGTAAGAAAAGCTCCAGCCCTGCTGCCCATGGGTATGGCAACAGAAGAAGGAGTCTCTCTTTCTTTTCCCTTCTCCACCTGCAGGTATGTGACAGCAGCCCCGGCTCCCTGGGCTCTCCGCAAGGATGGGCATCCCCACGTCCCTCAGCCGCCGGGGGAAGGACCGCGCACCGGGAGCGCGGGCTGCAGGCTGCCGCCCGCAGGGGGCACAGCAGCGGCCGTGACTTATTTTCGACAGCGAGAGCCGAGCCGCCGCCATCCCCGCGCCGGGCTGCGGGGCCGGAGCGCCGGGCGGCGGAAGGCACGCACGGCGCCCGCCCGGTGCGGCCCCGGCCGAGCTCCGCCACGTGCGCGGCGCGGCCCGGCCGTTGCATAAGCGCACTGA